TAACTTGCTGACGTTAATCTTATCCTAGCCTATGTCCTAAAAGTGGCTGAGGGATGGAACTACTTGACCGCCTTGGCGTAGTTCTTCACCCACTCTTCCGCCTGCTGCTTGACCTTGGCCACTGTCGCCTCCGTGCCGTGGTTCTCCTCCAGTTGCAGATACTTCTTGTAGATGACTTGCATCTTGTTGGGCTTTAGTTTCTGCAAAACGGCGCGCTCCAAAACGTTTCTAAAATTGTTATAAGACATTGGTTATGGACATCTAAGTTGTAATGGACTATTGTAGAACCCACCTCGCAGCATCGATTAAGTCCGACTTGATCAGCATGTCCACATATACGGACCAGATGTCGATTCGCTTGGGATAGGAGGTAACCACATCGTCTAGCAGTGTCTGAGCCATTTCGTTGTTTCCGTTCTTCGCATACAGCCTGGCGAAGGACACAATGCAGTTGATGTCTGTAGGGGTAATTCAAAGATTCAATTCAATTCAGAACTGATGAGTGTCAATAAACTTACGATCCTGATTTGGCAGTGCACGCAGAGCGCGCTGGAGAAGATTGTGGACCTGGTCGGACTTGCCCAGCCAGAAGTAAGCCTCGGCGGCCAGGGGCCACACCCTGAGCTCCGCCTTAAACTTGTTAAGGATGGTGGTCAGCACCGAGGTAAGGCGCTCCTTTTTCTTGTTCTTCTTTAGAATATCAACAACACCTATGTAGATTTCCAACGGATCGTTGCAATTCAAGGCTTCCTTGAGCACCTCGTCGAAATTGTTGCTGTAGACTAGCTCCATGTTGAGCAGGGCGCTCCACATGTTCCGCAGCTCCTGGGTTTCCCGGAAGGATATCGTTGAAATGGCCCTTCGAGCCAGACCGCGAGCCTTTTCGATCTCCGTGTTGGACAGCAGGAAAGCGATGTACTTCAGCCAGGATATGCTGTTGTTTGGCTGGGCAATCACCAGTCGCTCGTACTGGTCGATGGTCTCCAGACGGGCCTTGGGGTCGGCATTGCGCTCCTCAATCTCCCGCAGTCGCTGCTCCTCCTTGACCTCTGCCTTGGCCTTCTCTTTGGCACTCAGACGTTTCTTCTTGGCTGCGTTTTGCTGCGATTCCTCTGCGTCTTGGTCCTCGTCTTCGTCGCTGGAAGCTTCCTTTGACTGGCTCACATCGGTCTCCCAAAAACTGGACACACCGGGTAATCGCGCCTTACTTTCAGTTCCATTGCTTACTGGTGTTTCGGACTTTGCATTCTTCGCTGGTGTCTTGTCCTCGAAGAAAAGCTTGCCATTCTGCTTTGGCTTTTCCTTGACTACGCCGTTGGTCAAGGGTTGAGACTTCTTTTGACCATTGGTGATGGTTTTTGCTGTCTCTTCCGCCTTTCGCTTGGTGGTGGGTGTGGCCTCCGCCTTGCCCTTCTTCTTCGTCAAAGTCTCCTCAGTGCTAGATTTCTCCTGCTTAGACGGCTCCTCAACTTTGGCCTTTTTGGCTTTCACTTGGCTTTTCTCGTCAGCCGCCGACCTTTTAACTCCTCGCCAGAGCCGCCATACAGTCTCGGGCACAGCGATCGGAAGCTTGTCGTGAATAAAAGCTAGGTTGCAGAAGTCTCCCTGTCTGAGCTCTGCGCTTCCAGAGTTCTCCACATCGTTGGGATGCAAGCGAATCGGACAGATGACCAACGGATTTGTGCCCTTCTTCAGTGAGCACACCGCCACGGACTCCAGTTTCAGCAGCACCTTGGCCTTCATGCCCGCCTTGCCGATCAGATTGGTGGAAAGTTCTCCGCTTGGTGAAATGTGCGCGATGTCCAGTTTCTTGTTGCTGATGAGCAGCACGTCGCTGGAGTAATCGATCCACAGAATGATCGCCTGCTGCTTGGTGCCCGCTTCGGGAGCTATTGCAGTTCCTGCCACACTGGAGAGCAGCAGAGCCGAAACCTTGGTACTGCCCTCCACAGTATAGACCCAGTCATGGGAAGTCGCATCGATGCCCTTGAAGACAACATTGATTTTGTCGCCAACGGAGTACTTGGCAATGGGTGCAGAGGTTTCTTGCAGTGCTCTTTTTATCTGAGCCACTTCATCGAGGTAGCTGTAATAGAAATTTTAAGTATTTTTAAAGGGGTTCAATAAGATTCATTGCTGAACATACCTTTCGACCAGCTTGGCAGTATCACTAAGGTCTCCGCTCCACACATCGGTGAGCTTGGCGGACACAGTAAGTGTCTTGGTTTCCGGCTCCTTGCTGAGCACCTTCACTAAGAGCAGCTGCTCCGGAACCAGCTCCACGGGCGCATTTTTCACGGCATTTAACCGTAGCATCTTCACGTGAACCTTCACTGGCTTGTTGTAGTTGCGAACGGACACCATGAGGTCCACCACCTGCTCGGTGGCGTGCTTCACGTAGGAGCGAATGATGTCTCCCACTTGGACCGACTGCCAGTCCTTGGTGAGCTGGCCACTGAAGTAGGCCACATCGCGAAGACTGAAGATGTTCTGCACAATGCAGGCTGCCTCGGTGTGGGAGCCCACGGGATGGACCCGCATCTGGGCGTGAAGCAGCTCCAGGTGGTCCGAGAGCAGTCGCAGCGGGATGAGGCCCACGTACTCCTCCACCACCGGGTTGCCCTCCTCGTCCTCTTCGTCATCCTCGGCGGCGAAGGTGATTTTAATTTCCAGTCCGGCGTCCAAGGCATTGGTTATCTCAACGGGACAAATCTCGCCCAGCTGGAACTTGTCCTCCGGCAGGGACAAAGTGATTTGGTCCTTACTGCGACTCAGAATGCGGAACTTTGCGGTCTGTCCCTCGAAGAAGGAGCTCTGTTCCTTCAGACTTTGCCTGTGCAGGACTCCTTTGACACCGCTGCCGAACTTGACGAGCACATAGTTGTCCTCACAGCGAACCACAGTGCCCGTATAGACGTTGCCTACCTGGGCGGCCGAGTAATCGTTGAGCAGTTTCAATCCCTTGCCCAAATACTCGCTGCGATTGCTCAGGTAGCAGACCTTGCGCTCGGAGTTCACCTCGAGGACACGGCACCTCAACGACTGGCCCACATCGTAGCGGACATTGGGCGCCATGTAGAACTGTTCCAAAATGCCTTTCACTTTGCCGATCTTCACCGACCAGCCCTTGATTTTGTCGTCCTTCTTGAAAATCTTCGCCGTGACCAGGTCGCCGGCATTGATGTCCTCCAAACTGTAGATCTTCTCGTTGACCACGTTGGGATCGTCGGAGCAGTAGTACATGGACTCAATCACGTCGTAGCCCAGGATGCGCACCTTGTGCTTGGTCTTGCGTGCGTATTTGGACAGCACCTCGTCCTTGTCGTAGTTGCCCTTGAAGTTGGCCCTGATGGAACCGTACGAGATGATGCCCTTCAGCTTCTTGTTGAGCAGCAGCACCACTCCACCGCTGCCCAGCCGCAGAACCTTAGCCTTTTCCACGACGGAGCCCACCTTGAAGGGCTCCTCCTCCTGGTCTTCCTCATCCTTTGCCACCTCGTCTCCCGCTTTGATATCCAGGTTGAGAGTTAGGTACACCAGTTTGGTGAGGGGCATCACATAGAGCACCCTAGCATTGTAATCCTCGTTCAGCTCGTAGGCATCCAGGGTGTCCAGGGCGTTGGCCAAGTGGTGCTCGTTGATGTAGGCGCTGAAGGATTCGTTCATGATGCTGCCCTTAAGGCCATCCTTCAGGTGCTTGGTCACCTTGAACCTGACAATGCTGCCCGGTAGGATGTAGTCGAGGTTCGTCTCGTTTTGGCTCTTGATGCGCAGTTGGTCCTGCTCCACCTGGACGCAGGTGCAGGTGCTCTGGTGGGCGTTGTGCTGGACCTTTTTGACCTTCAGGAACGCCAGCTGGCCCACATGAAGCGTCTGTGCCGGCTCCTCGCAGGCCACGAAGGCCTGCAGTCCCTGCATTCCCGTCTCGATGACATAGCCGTGCTCCTGGATCTCCGCCACGGCTCCGGAGAAGATGAATCCCTTCTTGATGCTCTTGTGATGCAGACTGCCATGGACGTCGGCCGGCTTGAGGGACAGCAACAGGCTGATGCGGCTGCTGCCCAGCTTCTCTGTCTTGATGGCCTTGCCGTAGACGATGCGGCCCACTTGGAAAAGCTCGGTGAGATCGTGGTACTCGCTGGTGTCCCCGGACATGGCCGCCTTGGCCACGCGGGTGTAGGCCTCGGATATGTCGGCCACCAGGGTACGGGCGAACATCCGGCCGGGCAGGGCGATCTGCAGGGCGGTGGCGCTCGTCTCCTTGACCACTCCCATGACCAGCATGTCGTCCTGCAGCGTGTCCAGGTTGAGCGATTCCGCGGAGAAGGCCTCGAGTTGGTCATTCTGTTCCTCGGTGGGGTCGTTCAGGAAGTTTTCTTTTATTTTCGGAGCCTTTCGCGTCTTCTTCTGCGACGCACCAAAAACCTGTGGGCCAGAAAAGTATGTACAGAGATTTCGGAGATTTCACTGGGCAAACCCACAATATTTGAGCTGATGTCGGAGGTTTTGGCTTCGGCGTGGATCGTCCCGCCTCGGGGGAAACTTTTCTCATTCGGAACCATCGGTGAGATGTTTAATTTAGCGTTTTAAATAACAAAATTCAAGCAACGTGCGTACTACACGTGCTAAGCGCCGATATAGAAAATCAGTTCACAAAATGGTACTAATTTTGACCTGCAGAAACGATGTTATTTACTGCCTAGCGAAGTCCCAAACCATTTGGGACTTATGTCCTCTTCACACTGGCATCGCAGATAATTTGTTGCAGAGGGTTCACACGGGTAGCCGCTGTGGCTAAACCTGTAATTCCAAAATCTTTTAATAAATTAAAAAACTATCAATGGCTTTCTTGCAAATTATATAAATAATTATCTTGATTTACTGCGTTGATTTTTTAAAACTAATTAATACAATTTATTTAGCACCAAGTATGATTTGTACTGCGACCATAGTGTGAACAGGCCTTAAATCTTTTTTACCACCGAAAGACCGTGCAAAGGCCACTTAATTCCGGCTCACATGTGGAGTGCATTCGATTCGAACGCTACTCAACAAAATGCAAACTTTACGTGAGTTTACGCGTAAAACCAAGCGCGGGAATATCTTGAAGATCGTACGGGAGCATTATCTGCGCGACGACATCGGATGTGGCTCCGATCTGTGCCGGCAGTGCTTCCAAAATGAGGTCTACCAGCTGACCTCGCAGCATGAGATCCGGAGCACCTTCTTCAAGTGCCCGCACTACCTCGTTTTGGACACCAATGTGGTGCTGGATCAGATTGACGTTCTGGAGGAGGATGTGCTCCGCAACGTGGTCGTCCTCTCCACTGTGCTCAACGAGGTGAAGCACAAGAGTTCGTCCATATACAAGCGCTTAAATGAACTCATCCACGATCGCACCAGGAACTTCTATGTGTTCGTCAACGAGCACCACAAGTAGGTTAATGGATATGCTTAAGAAGGAACGCCCATTGCAATAATCCCTTATCCCCCAGGGACACCTATGCAGATCGCGAACCAGATGAAACTGCCAACGATCGCAATGATCGCGCCATCCGTTTGGCCACCAAATGGTATGATGACCACTTGCAGGCCTCGCAATCCCCTAAAGACTTGGAGCGCACTGGTCGGGCTGCAACGCGGGTGATCCTGCTGACCGATGATGCCGGGAATCGCGCCAAGGCCGAGGCCGAAGGCATTCTGGTTTCCTCCGCCGCGGAGTACGTGAAATCCCTCGAGGACTTTCCACTTCTGGTGGACAAGCTGTCGCACAAGACGTTCGAGAACGAGAAGAAGGGTCTGCCCCAGTATCCGCCGCATCTCAGCATGAAGGAGCTGCTGGAGGGTCTGCGCCAGAAGAAGCTGCTGCAGGGCGCCTTCCAGGCCTCCAGAGAAAACTATCTCGAAGGCAGTGTCAATGTGGAGCAGTTTGAAAAAGGCGTAAGTTAAGATATACACAACTTCTTTATTGCATTTATAAATTCAATTATTTCTACACAGATCCTAATCCAAGGCCGCGAATCCCTCAACCGAGCAGTGGATGGCGACCTGGTGGCCGTGGAGCTGCTGCCCGAAGAGGAGTGGTCGGCGCCCAGTGAAATCGTGCTGGAGGAGAAGAACGTCTACGCGGATGAGGTGCCCAGCGAAGAACGCGCCGAGGATGAGAAGGACATGCTGAAGCAGGTGCGGGCCGCTGCCTCATCCGCTGAGCGCACACCCACGGGACGGATTGTGGGCATTGTGCGCCGCAAGTGGCGACAGTACTGCGGCATCCTGCAGCCCAGCTTGATAGAGGACACAAATCGGCACATCTTTGTGCCCGCCGACCGCAAGATTCCCCGCATCCGCATCGAAACTAGGCAGGCGGCCAAGTTGCTGAATCAACGCATAATCGTGACCATCGACACGTGGCCGCGGAACTCGCGCTACCCGCACGGACACTTTGTGCGCTCCCTGGGTCCCCTCGGCGACATGGCCACCGAGAACGAGGTGATTCTGTTGGAGCACGACGTGCCGCACTGCAAGTTCTCGGACGAGGTGCTGAGCTTCTTGCCGCAGATGCCCTGGACAATCACCGAGGAGGACTATGCCAAGCGTGTGGATCTCAGGGACCTGTACATCTGCTCAGTGGATCCGCCGGGCTGCACTGATATCGATGATGCACTCCACTGCCGGGAGCTGCCCAATGGCAATCTGGAGGTTGGTGTGCACATCGCTGATGTGAGTCACTTCATTCGGCCAGGAAATGCGCTGGATAAGGAGGCAGGCGCCAGGGGAACCACCGTTTACCTGGTCGGCAAGCGCATCGACATGGTCCCTGAGTTGCTCAGCTCGAATCTGTGCTCGCTGGTTGGCGGCGTCGAGCGCTTCGCCTTCTCCTGCGTGTGGGAGATGGATCAGGAGGCCAATGTGTTGGGCAAGCGCTTCCACAAGAGCGTCATCAAGTCGAAGCGTGCCATGACGTACGAGGAGGCACAGGTGATTATCGACGACTCCACGCAGCAGAATGAAATTGCCAAGTCTCTGAGGAATCTTAATCGGCTGGCCAAGATCCTCAAGAAACGGCGCATGGACAATGGGTGAGTTTATACCGATCCGTCTTTTGGTACATGAGATTCATCCAACTCGTTATTTACAGAGCCCTGGTCCTGGCCTCGCCGGAGATTCGCTTCCAGGTGGACAGCGAGACACACGAACCTCTCGAAGTGGAGGTCAAGCAGATGCGCGAGACCAACTCCATGGTGGAGGAGTTCATGTTGCTGGCCAACATCACCGTGGCCGAGCACATTGCGACGGAGTTCTCTGAGTGTGCGGTGTTGCGTCGCCATCCCCGGCCGCCGCCCACCAATTTCGATCCGCTGGTGAAGGCCGCCCGCTACCAGGGCTTCCAGGTGGACATTGAGTCGGGTCTGGAGCTGTCGTATTCGCTGGACAAGTGCGTCAAGGCGGACAATCCGTACTTCAACACCATGATCCGCATCCTGACCACGCGCTGCATGATGCAGGCGGTGTACTTCATCAGCGGCAGTCTGCAGAAGGAGGAGTTCTTCCACTACGGCCTGGCCGCGCCCATCTACACGCACTTCACCTCGCCCATCCGTCGTTACTCCGACATAATGGTTCATCGCCTGCTGGCCGCCTCCATTGGCGCGGATAGCACCTACGCCCAGTTGCTGGAGCGCAAGTCGAACGAGGAGCTGTGCCACAACCTGAACTACCGCCACAAGATGGCCCAGTATGCAGGTCGCGCTTCGGTGGCCCTCAACACGCATCTCTTCTTCCGCGGCAAGGAGGAGGACGAGGAAGGGTAAGTCGGGGGAACCTCTAACCGAGAACTGTTTGACAAATTGTTAACCATCCCCAGGTATGTGCTATTCGTGCGCAAGAACGCTCTGCAAGTGCTGATCCCAAAATACGGCCTGGAGGGCACTCTGTATCTGAAGTCCGACAAGGAGGGCAAGGATGGACTGGAACGCACAAAGAGCGAGATCGTGTTCACCTTCAACGAGGAGGATTACACCCAGCGATGCGGCGACGTGGTCTTCCACTCCTTCGACCCGGTCACCGTTCGACTTAGCCTGGACTCCAGCAACGTGCAGCACGAGAAGCTGATCTTCCGACTGGTCAAGCCGTACATCAAGGGCTTCAGTGTGGAAACGGAAAACGTTAAAGCTGATGCCCAGCCGGCTGCCACGCCCCCGCCTCCGAAGAAGACCAAGAAGGACAAGAAAAAGAAGTAATCCCTTTGCACCTAAAACTAAGTTGAATTAGGCTAAGCTGAGAAAACATGTAACTACAATCATTTTGTACAAATGAATTAGTTCTATAATTCCACTCTTCTCTTATACTGTTTAACCATCGCCTCGCCTCTCCCAATATCGGAGAATTTCGAAAGCAAACCTTTGATCGGGTGTTTCTTAAAGGCTTAGGTTTTCTACTTGCGTTCTACATTCTCCGGACCCATTGCAAAGTTTCGACTGCAGTGCGACGGTTGTGCTCAGCTCAGCTCATTTGATCAACAAGCTTATAAGGGGACTTACCAGAAAAACATATTCGTGTGTAACTAAGATTTTCAAAGTGTAATGGAACCCGGTCCTGGTGCAGTAAATAATACGAATTGTAAGGACAGTAAGTTAACAAAAAAAAGGTTAAAACATAAGGAAGCTCTCTAATGTGTAATCGCATGATTTTTACGGAATATATATCATATATATCAGGAAAACCAAAGCAGATTAAACCAGTTTTAAATAACTTGAAAAATCATAAGTGTGTTCTTTTAACGAGACATAAAATATGTGTTTTCTATCCCAAAATTCGGTATATGTATATTGTGCAAAAAATTCTGTTCCCCTTAATTGGCTAAAATTACATAATAAGTTTCAGTGGTTTCTAATCAAAACTTCTTCAAAACCTTACAATTCCAAGGACCAAGGACCTCACACTTGAAGTTTGTGTAACGAAAAACCTAATAGAAAAAACTTAAAAAAAAAATTCCACTGTTTACCCATTCAAATAATGAACTTTCGATGCGACTTTGATGTGATTAATTAGAGTTTAGTTTAGTTGTGTCCCCAAATTGTTACGACTACATATTAATGGCTTCGATTAGCTTATGCAAATTGGAGGCTTTCAGGTCCAAGGGCCATTGGCAATGACGTGTGGATTATGCTCAGCGTCTGGTCGGGCCGTATATAAGTAGTACATGGCTGTGAGGCCTGGGTATATGCACATTGTACATATATGTATGTATGTATATATATATATATATAAATCAGTTGAGTGACCGCGACATTTAGAAAATTTAAAATTCAATGGGACACGACTGGTTGGTGAGCTCGCGGTAAGGTAAAATCAAGTGTTAGTGCTGTCATTTAGTTTGGTAGCGCATAACTTAACAGAGAAATCAATGAACCCCCTCCCCTCCGCCCAACTAATGGTCACCTGCTGCTCCACTCTCTCCCTCTCTCTCTCTCTCTCTCTCTCCCCCGTAGGCGGATCCGTCTGCGGCATGCCCGTAGAGGCGCACGATCCGCTGTATTTGGAGGCCTATCGGCAGAGTGTCCAGGATCCGGCTGCCTTCTGGGAGCAACAGGGCCACCTGCTTGACTGGGACCGACCCTGGCAACAGGTGCTGGACAACAGCAGTCCGCCCTTCACCAAGTGGTATGTGGGTGGCTACCTGAACGCCTGCTACAACTCCATCGATCGGCACATCCTGGCCGGAAAGGGTGCCCAGGTGGCCCTCATCCACGACAGTCCGCTGACGGGAACGGTGCGCCGTGTGACCTACCAGGAGCTCTACGATCAGATTGTCCTGCTGGCCGGCGGCCTGGCCAAAATGGGCGTGGTCAAGGGCGATCGCGTGGTGATCTACATGCCCCTCATTCCGGAGACCATCATTGCCATGCTGGCGATTGTGCGTCTAGGCGCCATCCACTCGGTGGTCTTCGGCGGCTTCGCTGCCCGGGAACTCTGCTCGCGGATCGAGCACGTGGAACCGAAGCTGGTGATCGCCTCCAATGTGGGCGTGGAGCCGGGCAAGGTGGTGCCCTACCTGGACATCCTGCATTCGGCCATCAACATGTCGCGCTGGCGGCCACCGCAGCGGAACATAATCTTCCGGCGGAAGAATATCGCCCCGGACACCACCAAGCTTGATCCGCAGGGCGATGTTCTCTGGTCGGATGTCCTGAAGATGTCCGAGAACGAGCAGCCGATAGCCTGTGTTCCCATCGAAGCCAACGACCCACTGTACATCCTCTACACCTCGGGCACAACGGACAAGCCGAAGGGAGTGCTGCGCACCATTGGTGGCCACCTGGTCGCCCTGATGTACACGCTGCGCACCCTCTACGGCATCAGTCCCGGCGACACCTGGTGGGCTGCCTCGGACATGGGCTGGGTGGTGGGTCACTCGTACATCTGCTACGGACCCCTCTGCCTGGGAGCCACCAGCGTGATGTACGAGGGCAAGCCGGATCGCACCCCGGATCCGGGTCAGTACTTCAGGTGAGTGGATCTTGATTCTTGAAAAAAAACATCAAAAACTCATATAGTGAGAATAATACAATATTTGTCTAAAGCAATATATTTCGAGTTGCATTCGTATATTATAAGACACCAATTTCTTCCTAGGATTATCGACCAGTACCAGGTGCGCTCGATCTTCTCGGTACCCACCTCCTTCAGGGTGATCCGTCGCGCCGATCCGGACATCAGTCACGGACGACAGTACTCCATGAAGTCGCTGCGGGCCATTTTCATTGCCGGCGAGCACTGCGACTATGAGACCAAGGCCTGGATCGAGAAGACCTTCAAGGTGCCGGTGCTCAACCACTGGTGGCAGACGGAGACTGGTTCCGCGGTGACCGCCACCTGCCTGGGCTTCCGGCAGAACCTCAGTCCGCCCACCTACTCCACGGGCCTGCCCCTCATGGGCTACGACGGTGAGTGATGCTCCAGAAAGCTTGGCCAAGTGACCACCCATACTTAAGCCCTGGGACATCTCTCTTGCAGTGAAGGTCCTGAAGCCGGACGGCAGCGAGGCACAGATCTCGGAGCTGGGCAGGATTGCGCTGAAGCTGCCGCTGCCCCCCGGCAACATGGCCACTCTCTACAAGAACGAGGACCTCTTCCGCAAGCTGTACTTCCAAAAGTTTCCGGTGAGCTATCTTTTAAATAGTTAGACTTCAAATTAAAATCAACCGAAATAAGTAAGAAACGATTGGTATAAGAAATAGTAATTAAAAAACAATAAATATTTAATAGTAATAAAAATATTTGATTAAACTTGATATTAAGTACTGTAGTTCTTAAACATATTCTTTAGGCATTATAGAACTTCGTTTCAATTTCTACTAACATCCCGAAAATTCTGATTCAGGTAATATCCTAAGAGGTTTTTAAGGTTTATTGGCCTATTTTTAAGAAAAAAGTTAGCAAAAAATGTTATGATAAGGGACATTATGGTTAAAATATAAGGGAAAAAGTATTTTTTATATATTGGTCGGTTGTAACATTTGAATCTACGAAAATATAAAAACTAAGATCCTTAAGATCCTTACCAATTATGAATATAAATTGTTAGTTACTAACATTTTAAGTCGCTTCTAAAGATTTTAAAATAAATAATTTTATTGGCTAGGCTGCAATCTTCTTGCTAGCAGTATATTTTGAATTCCCCTAACATCTATCATTCGTTTTTAAATATAAACTTATAAACCCGTTTACCCAGGGCTACTACGATACCATGGATGCCGGCTACAAGGACGACCGTGGCTATATCTTTGTGACGGCCCGCGACGATGATGTGATCAATGTGGCTGGACACCGGCTGTCCACCTCCAGCCTGGAGGACGCAGTGCTCCGGCATCCAGACGTGGTGGACGTGGCTGTTTTCGGCGTTCCCGAGGCCACCAAGGGCCAGGTGCCGCTGTGCCTGTACATTCCGGTGGAGAACTGCCAGAAGACCGATGCCAAGCTGTCGACGGAGATCATCAAGCTGATCCGTGATGTGGTTGGACCCATCGCCGCCTTCCGGCTGATCACGTCCGTGAACAACCTGCCACGCACCCGATCCGGCAAGACGATGCGCAAGGCCATGGCGGACTTCGCCCGGAACGAGCGCGTCATCCTGCCGGCCACCATCGACGATGCCAGCGTCTTCATCGAAATCCGGCGGGCTCTGCGGCATCTGGGCTACGCCATGTCCGCCCCGGAACCGATTGTGGCCAAGCTACTCGACTGAAGGGCTAAATTTGGAAGCCCACTATCTACTCCTTAGCTTGTACGATTCCCAAGATGAAAATAAAATTTAAGCAAGTTTGGCTGGGGTTTTTTCCACCATTTTATTGCGTAGGCCGCAAAATGGCGAATATGATTTAAATGTTAATCTTGGATGTGACCTATTCTTCCTGCACTGACACACTATCCCCCATACAACTGAAACTCAATCAGTTTATTCAAATTTTGTGCAAATTTCGCGATACATTGTCGGACCTACGAAGCGTTGGTTCATGTGGGACGTATACCTAAACCCAAACCTAAACCTATCCGCCCCTTATTTTCTGCTCACATATGGCACTGGCATTGCATTATTCGGCCTGAATTGTGCACATCAAAGATGACAACAAATTACAGCGACAGCTAGGGCTAACCGTAACCCAATTACTTGGCTCTGAAATCCGGGGTCACATTGCGTGTGGCAGTATGGAGCCAATTATCCATAAGTAGCTGAACATTAAGGAGATCTTATGTTAACAGACTTATTTAATTTCAGAAGTAATTTATATTAAAAAAGGGTATAACTAGAGGCCATATGTAACTTTCACGTATAAATACTGTTCATACTAATTTTATATTTGTTCAGAATACGTATTGTGAATCGATATTAATCTAATAAACAAAAAAAAACCAAGACCATGATATGGTCTTTTTTATTTTTGCAAATATAATGTGGACTTTTGTTTTAAGGTATCCAATTATTATCTATAATAAATCTATAAACAATTAGAAATTGTTTTTGCACAGCATTAAGTACTAAAATTAGTACTTTATTACTTTCCACAGCAAATCATTCCCTTTTCTTCTTTCATTTCCCCATTAGCTAACGACATAAAAGACAAAGAAATTAGATTTTCTTCTTGGTAAATGCGAATTTTCGCAGACTCAACCGTGGTTATGTCTGCATTTAGGTTATCCCCCACCAAGATGCCCAAGATGGCCAAGATGAGTGCCTGACGTCACAGTCGAAATTCGTGTCGCTGGCTTTTTTGCATGCCAAACACGCACAAATTCAAATTAATTGCAATGCTTCGCCTGCAAATCCCAGTCTCATAAAGAAGAGATTACTCTGCTTACGCATCGGTGGAGCAAAGTGCAGTGGCTTTAAAGGTGGGGGCTTAAAGCAGATCCGTGGGACGGACAGTAAACGTTCGATGGACCATAAGCGATTATAACTACCAATAAATAGGTGATGGTTGCCGGCCACTGGACATAAAAAGCGGCAACTTTTACAACATAATTAAGAGCTGATAAACTTATATAATAGATAAACATATTGGTCTACTCGGTGGGTTGCCGCTGCCGGCGAAAGTTTGGCAAGTGCACACATTGTGCGGCGCAGCATCGTGCTCTGGTCGGTGTCGGTGGCGTATGAGTGATACCGATGTTTAAGCACGCCCACCAAGTATCCTGGCAAAAGCGCAACATGTGGTCCCCCGACTCCAGTGTGGCCCCGTCAGCCAATCACAGGCCACCGTGCCATCTGCGCTCGTCCTCGGCGGAAGTAAATAAAAGCTGATGTCCTGGCTGGACAGGACATCATTCGAGTGCTTGTGTTCAACAAGTCCAGCAAACGGAGCAAACGAGCTGAGCCCCAGTGACAAAAAACTAACAAGTTTATCCCTCAACTACTCTGTGGAAGTATCCAAATATTAAAGCCCTTATCAGGTTGGTACTTGTGACTTACGACGTACAAAGTATTGGATAACTTAAAAGAATACGTTTTAACTGAATAGGCTGAATAAACTGAAATTGTGGATAAAAATACAAAAATAGGAAAAAACGTTTTAAATTCAAGAACGCTTTTTGGCTCACCAAATTTATTTAAAGCGTATGCAGTCAGTTTTACAGTAATGAGGATTTGGTTATTTAACTATTGTAATTACCTTGTGTTTTTGAATTATTTCTTGAGCAACGTTTTAGTCGAATAGACTAAATTTGTGGATTAATATAAAAAATGGGAAAAATCTTTTGAAATTTAAGAACGGTTTTCGATATTTTAGTTTGACAAGAATGTGGATTAGGTTATACAATTTTTAAGTTTAAGTTTTTGAATTTTTTCCTTGAGGAACAAAAGATAAAGAGAAATTCTTACATGTTTCAAATACACCGATTTCATAACTTCTTAAAAACAATTTAATATGTTTTTTATGTTATTTTACTATTAATAACATAAACAAACATATTTCCCAAATTTTGAGGGCTTATTATATGTATCTTTATATTTATTAAAAAACGCTCTTTTAAAATCGTTTATATATAATCAATATTTTTCTAGAATATAGACGTTTAAAAAGTAGTTTCTGTCGTCTTACTGTTGCGCACTAAAAGGTGTCTGTTTAGTTAGCAAACACAAGCTCAATCAGTTGGGATCCTTGGAACGTGCCCTATGCATATCAACCTGTTGACACCGTCTTCCTGCTCCCGATTTCTGGTGTTGCTTTTCTAAGCTAAACAGATGTGGGAGCAACACGTTCGCATATGTCGCACCTGGCGCGAGTGTTTGCATGCCAACTGCAACGGGGCGTATGAGTGCTGCCTCCACTTTCATCATCGTAATCATCATCAGAGGAGGTGACACAGAACAGATTGCCGCTGCCTTTCCCCAAGCTAATAGAAACAAATTGTCTGCCGCGTAAACATATTAGGGTAGCATTAAGGTCGCCTGCTTAGATGGTATTTAAAATGGAAGCTCGGTCGCGAGCCGGCAACCAAGTACAACTACATTTATGCATAATACTTTGCCATGGCGACGCCATCATCAGCGAGTGGCAATCAAGCACGTAGCATTAAGATCATTACACTTAATCAAAATCAGTGGGGTTGGATGGGGTGTGGGATAAGACGCCCTTCAGCCCTCCAAGATGAGTGTGCAGATGGTGTCCTTGCTGGCCAACCTTTGCTGCGGATCAAATAATTTAATAAGCGTGACACCAGCTAACCATGCTTCCTGCTCATTTCTCAATTCTGCCCCCATTTGCAGCATGTCCTTCGCACAGTTCTTTGTCGCCTGCTGCCTGGCCATCGTCCTGCTGACCGTGGCCACCACTGGGGCTGCAACCCAGGGTCCTCCTCTGTGCCAGGCCGGCATCGTCGAGGAGATGCCCCCACACATCAGGAAGGTGTGCCAGGCCCTGGAAAACTCCGATCAACTGTCAACGGCCTTGAAATCCTACGTCAACAACGAGGCATCCGGTAAGTACCAGTTAAATCAACTGCTTGGAATTTAAATACATTTTATGAAAATGTAAAAAGGGTTTCAAGAAAGGATTTCATTTCTTTTCTTATATTTACGCTGTCATTTTAATGACTTAAATGATATTATTGTTTAATTGCAGCTCTAGTGGCCAACTCTGACGACCTCCTGAAGAACTACAACAAACGTACAGATGTCGATCACGTCTTCCTGCGCTTTGGCAAACGTCGTTAAGGACATGACTCGAAGGATTCCATTGCAGCTCATACTTGACTTGCGACAACGACACTGGACCTTGACCACAGTCGGCGAAATCGTTTCTGTTCACCCAAAGCACAACACTATTTTGACGTCTTCAACATTATTATGCAAATGTAATCGATGGAAACTCAGAACTTTAATCAATTGGAAGCCCTCTAGTTCATTAAATAGCAAATCGATGTGTCCAATGTTTATATAAAAATAACTGGAATAACTATTTGTACATATTCAATGACCCCCGAAGCGTTATAAAATTTGATCCCTTGGTTACAAAAAAAAAAATAACGTTTGAATATATAACACATACTTCCCTTGCATGAAGCACTATTATTAAATAACCAACAAATGTTTTCAAATTCGATCCACAAATTTGTTACCTTTTCAAATAAAGACAAACTTTTCCTCTCAATAAGTCAATGCATGACAAAATGCAACTAAATTGGCATTTATTTGAAATTGGATTTTGAGGTATTATTATCGTAAAAATATGGGGTTAAAACTTCAAAAAATTGAGACGATGGGGAAAACAAAAATTTCAAGTCAGATTGACTTTATCAAATAATAATATTAATGCCTCAACTCACCTGGGCCTTTGTATAAATGAAAGAAAACTTTTTAATTTGCTTTGTATCGAAGGAATAAAAAATGCTAACGATTTTTTTTAACATTTTGTTTTATTAGATTTCCTTAGAATTTGTTTTAAATCCTCCTAAAAGACATATAAATACTATTAGCAAATTAATTGTTCACGGCATTTTGCATTAGTGTTCGTGTTTTTTATAACTTCAATCAAATTTTAAGAATTATTTTGGAAAACAATTTATATTTGCAATTTATGTTGTTTAAAAATTATTTCTGGCTTGATAATGCCTGAATTATAATGGTTTTTTTAACGCAACTGTGATAAATTAAACAAGTAGAAATACAATTTATAATTTAACTTCAACATTTTTTAACAGTTGTTACAATATAGAATTTGAAATAATTTTTTATATAGAAAAAAAAATAAATAAATAGGTTATGATTAGATTATGATTAAATAGGTTAGTTATGAAAGTTTAAAAACTTTCATTCAAACTTAATTTAATAAAAATTTTTTTTTTTTTTTTCCTAACATTTATTTTTATTGATACGGTAGGCACTTTGTATTTTTTGATGGCTATGAAAACTTCATCAACATTAATTCCACTGCATACTCTTGAGAACCAGAAGAAATATATTTTGTGAAAGCGTGTTTGGTCAATGGGTCCCACAGTGCGCAGATACTTTCGCTCCATTGGGTTATATTTTCATTTTAAATATTTTTCTTTCGCTGAAAAAGTTAAAAGTTTCCATTTAATTGCATGTTTGGATTAAATTATGTTTGCCATTTTTAACGCTTTTATTAAATCAATAAAAAACTAAACAAATAATAAGATATTGTAAATCAAATTGACACAAAAACGTGAAACAATGCGGTTTTCTGATTTCTATGCAAATGCGTAAAATGCCAAAGCTGTTAAATTAAAAATATATGTCATCCGCAAATGATTTTCTTTGTCTGATCTTTTAACATTTGACACTTTTCCTAGATTTTCTGATTTTTTCTTTATTTTATTTATTATGTTACCATATATATGGGACTTTTTTTTTAAGTCCTTTTCCTCTGTGGGAAAATGATTTGAGCATTCTGCTTTGGTGTTGTCTATAGCTTATTCAAAAATGTTTGTTAAATTTTGATGAAATAAATTATCAAGAAATTCAAAACTAAAAGTAGTTTTAGGCATTTTACTATTATTTTGAAGGGATTTTAATATATATATATTTTATATAAATTTGTTGATTTCATTCTTGGTTCTATTAAGATTTTATCACATGGAGAATTCATTCAGTCTTGTTAATCAACATTCGTTTTATATTCTCTTAAACTGGTCTTTATAAGACTGGATTTACGGTAGTTCGTCTTAACTATAACAAATAAAATAATTTTATACATAAACAAAAATATATAAATAACATAAAATTGCAACATTTAAACAAAATACTTCATAGATTCATAATTTCTTTGGTTTCTTTGTATTTTTTACTTGGTCTTTTAAGTTGTTTGTTTTCAAATTACCACCATTGACATATCCTTTTTTGTTCGTTTCCTTCAGATTTGATAAGCGTTTAACGCTATCATTTTGTTAATAATGATTTCTCATTCCTGTAAAAAACAACTAAATGCTACAATTCATATGGTAAGCTCGGCAAGGGCCGCTCTTGCTTTTATGAAGAACTCAACAGCTGCTAACAATTTAGAGATGTATAAAAAAATCACATCAAATGGTTCGCGTATACTTGTATATTTTACTATTTGTATATTTATGTATTAATATAATATAAAAATACTATTTAGACTGATAGAAATTTGAATGTTACCAAATATTACTTTTTTGCATCAGACAAATGTAATAAAATATATTATTATAGCTATTAAGCATGCCGAGTTCCACATGTGCTAAGTTTTTTTTATGTTTTGGCTTTTACCTTAACTTACCAAAATATGTTAAAACTTGTATATTCTTTGTTTGTACTTTCAGTGCTTTTGTTTTGTAAATTTAGATAATTATCTAATTTAATGGTTAGGGGATCAATCATTTAGAACATTCTCGATATTTTCGCGACACTATCTTAATAATTGATTGATTGATGACGTAGAGATTGCGAAATATATTTCATCATATTTGTTTTTGTTTTAAGATTTATTCTGAATATTGTTGTTCAGGTATACTTGGCACTTTTTAATTGCTTGGGGTTTACTTGTTCTTTGCATGTAGTACTTTGATATCTTTTCGTAAATACTTAATACTTTGATTTTGGTTTCATTCATTTGTCTCTGATATGTTACGATTTGTATGCTTGCAGTGCTGGTTCGGTTCGTGAATATATTCAGTCTTTTGCTTTTCACATTTTTTCACTCATTTCGACTTTCGATTGATTGTTTTGCTTAATTATTTGCATTTTTACTGATTGATTTTTGTGTAAACAAAATATTTAAAATAATAATATATACGCTTAAATAAGTTTAATGCATTTAACACATTTTTGAACATTATTTTATTGACTTTGATAATGGTTATGATTTTTGCATCATTTGCTAATATATTTTGTGTATTTCGTTACTTGTTTTTCTCAGCTTAGTTTAAAGGAGTTACATAATTACGAAATTTTGTTGCTTAAATTGTGGCTATAAGAAAAGATATAAGATAACTGTATAAACAAAAAGAAAATAATAAGACTGGCTTCTGTCATTCACGTCAAGATGGTTACGAAAAGAAAAACACATTCTTGCAAAATCATAATCGCTTTTCAGGAGTATATAGGGATTGGAAATCAACTTTCAGTGTGTTGAGAGTCGTTTGCGGTTTTGAGCTTAACTACTAAAATATACATTGCATTCATTTGTATACAATTTTACATGACTCACACAATTTTAAATTTAGTTTAGTTCTTCGAGAAGATCATGTATGTACTCGTGGTTTTCCGTCATATAAAAAATATGATTTTAGCATACTTTGGTCACAGTTGAATCGTAATTGTAAATGAATCTAAGAAGGAGCACATAAAGGTTTGTTTAGGCTGGAGCTCAGTGCAGGCTAGCTCCGGTTGTCTATTAAGAAAACATTAAACAACAGGCAATGCAGGTATTTTCAATATTTTTGATCAGGGTTCGTGGGGAGACAAAACAAAAACAAATGGAAAAAATAAATTTGGGCAGGGGGTTTATATAGAAAGACGTTGCAACACGAGTTGGCTTAAATGCTAAGAAAAAGAGAACTGTATCCTTACAACTAAAATTGTATGTTCTGAGTGTCCGCGTGTGTGTGTGTTGTGTATTATGTATAGCAAGTTAATTGCTGTATTAAACATAGATTCCCTTCCTGTTACTCGATTTCTGTATGCCCTAATCCCTTTTTATTTGGTTTCTTGGCCTATCGGAGCACGCGCAGCGTTCTGATCTCTAGTGTGCCGTCAGGGGTGGGAGGGGATTGCGGTTGTTTAGTAGTAGGCGGCTGCATTCGAATAGTTCTGGGAGTAGGCCTGCGAATCTGCAAGAAGACACCGATGACGGATGGCGCAACTGGAGGGCACTGAAATCACCTACCATAACCTGCATAGGCGCGCTCATCATAGCCAGCGCTCTGCTGTCCGTGCTGGGTGTAGTCCGCTTGCCCGGTGGCATTGTAGTCCACGGCAGTTGAGCCGTACTGCTGGCTGTAATCCTGGCTGTACGACTGATAGCGCGTGTCCTGGGGAGCGGCATAGCCTGTCGAACTGCTGAGAGACACAAAGCGTTACATTAGCATCTGCTCAGTCCAATCGGAGGGGAAATGAGAGTCAGGAGTAGGTAACCCACTTGTAGTTCTGATACTGGCTCTGATCATACTCAGTGCCGTGGTGGGCCGCATAGCTGCTACTGGCCGGAGCACTTGTCTGCGATGTGTGAGCTGCATAGCTGCTGCTGCCGCTCTGGCCATAGCCGTTGTATCCCTGCTGAGTGGTTTGGGTGCTGTAGCCGCTCTGCGCGTACGGATCCACTTGCTGAGTCTGGTCGTGGGTCTGGTAGCTGTGGTGGCTATACGAATAAAAGGTTTTTTTTATAAGCTGATATCGTAGCTAGGTTTAATTATGTTTCCCAAAAATTAGATCTTTAAGCTTAAAATCTAAGGCTCGTTTTTTCGTCCTCATGGAAAGCAAAAAGTAGTTTTTACACTCCAAAACTTTTTCTCTGCTTTAAAGGTACTTTTAGTTTACCATCATGCCGAAAAAATTGGCCTTAACCATCCATTGGCATCCAAACCAATTTTTTGTATATATACCATGCCTATTTTAGCTTTGTGCAAAATTTATATTTGTCCAAAAATTCACAGTTTAAATATAAGCAAGAAGGGTATAATTTAACGATATCAAAACTAGAAAGAGTTTGAATGTACATATGTGTTTTGCTTACCTTGGAGCTGGCGCATGGTGACTTGGCGGTGAGCCATAGGAGGACTGCGAGGACATACCACCGCCTCCGCCGCCACCCATGTGCTGCTGTGTGGAGTGGTATTTGGGCGTCATGGGCCGTTGACCGTAGGGACCGCCCTCATAGCGACCTCGTTTGGGACCAGGACCACCGGGAGCGCCGCGTTTGAGAGCTGGTACCGGTGCGAGTTGTGTATTGGGATTATGTGCCTGATGGTGATGCAAGGGTGGCCGACTCATACCTTGATTGTAGCCGCCCCTGCCGCGCGGGGCTCCGCGCCTGGGCATCGAGCCGTGCTCTCCGCCCGGACCACCGCCCAGGGAGTTGCTGTGGTGGCTGTGGGAGCTGCCGTACATGCTGCCGCCGCCGCTGCCGTTCATGTGCCGTTCATAGCCTCCGCCGCCGCGTCCGCGTCCGCTGAAAGGACCACCGCGTCCACGACCACGGCCCAGATACGGAGGAGGTCCTCCGCCATTGCTGCCACCAGGGGCGGAACTGCCGCCATGCGAGTTGCTTGAGGGAACACCGCCTGATGATGACTGACCATCGGTGACCTCATCCCCGGCTGCCTCAACGACTGGCTGTTCTCCACTGATCGCCGAAGTGGGCACTGGAGAGACGGTCTTGTTGTTGTCGGCACCTGTGTGTTGTTTGGGAGCTAGATTGGATTGGATTGGATTTACAAGGTGCGGTTGGGAGTCAAGGGAGCCGGATGGAGAGCTTACGCTGTGAGTACAAGGGAGGGCGTCCGCCGCGCATGCCCATGGGAGCTCCACCGCGCGGCTGGTAGCCACCGCCGCGTCCCTGGTAGCCCATTCCGCCGCGGGAACCACGCATGCCCCGTGGAGGACCCGACATCATGCCCTGCATGGGCGGTCCCCCCGCCCATTCCGCTGCCGCCGCCCCCGCGCATGCCGCCCATGAAGTGACCGCGTCCGCCACGACCACGTCCGCGATCGAAGCCACCTCGCATGGGGGCTCCTCCACCGCGTCCGCGAAAACCGCCTCCACGTGGGCCACCCATCGAAGGGGAGGACACTGAGGATCCTTCCATGCTCCTGGCTGGCTTATCTCGCACTCTGGAACACGCGCACTAGCACTAGCACTGGGCCTCCTCGGAATCAAACGCGGATTTTAAGACTGCAAGAGCCGGAGGAAGAAGAAGACCACTCGGATGCCGGAGACTGGCGATTAAGGCTATTATTACTGTGCACGGGGAATCGCTTCTGCCAAAAGGTCACTTGGTAATTGCTCTGTCGCGTACTCGATACACTTTCAACTTTAACTTATCTTAATCAACTTATTTAACTAAACATTATTCGGATAGCGCGTTGGTCTGTGAGTCTAGTGAAAAAATATGGCGGCGACTATTGATTTTTGTTGCAGCGCTGCCCACTCGCCATTGTGTGAGTTTTCTGGCAGGGCTGTCAACTTCGGCTAAGAAAGTAGCTATTTTTTATATTTATATTCGCTAACTTAAATTTAAGTTGTATAGAAGCATTCTACAAAAATTCTCTTCTAATCTTTTAAGTTGAAATCTTACAGGAGCTTTCAAACGAATTAACATATTCAAGATAACTTTGGTAAGTTTTAACAAATTTACATAACTTGATTTAATAATTTCTGGTTGGGCCAATAACAGCTAAGCTTCTTAACAAAAATATTAAGAGCTAGCATGTTGCAGTACTAATTACTATAAATACGCGTAGTGTTGTCAAACTCGATTTTTATATACGACACCGGCAATTTTATATTTTCCAAATAGAAAAATCAGGGTAATTAAAACAAATAAAAAAGGTTTCAAATTTTTTTACAGTATGCACCCTAATAGTTTTTTATGATTATAAATACATATAACATTAATCAAACTGCATTTTCAATTTGGCGCCCATTTATTTTCAATGTGGTTGCAAATTGCCGATATCGGCAGGCGTTAGGCGAAGAACCTTTGGTGGGATTAAGCTGGCAACACCTGGCCAAACTGCAAATGAGTTTTAGTCGCTTAGAATAAATTTCGCACTCTTATAGACTTGCAATAAAATTCGAATTAGCTCTTAAAGTGTTAACTAAGTGATTGAGCAACATATAATTGTGTTGGCATTATGGCAGAAGCAGTAAAAAAAGGTAAAGATCGGCACTCGCAGAGTGCTGAAAAAGGCAAGCGACAAATGGCGACTGTCTTATTAGATTGTTTTTTTTTTCTTCCTTGCCACTGCGCTTGGCAGAGTTGCAATTGCAAGTTTTTGGCGGTTAAAATTTGAATTTAGTTTTCTATTTACTTTTGCAGAAAGTGGCGCCCAGCAGCGACCTTTGGATGGTGGAGGAGGAGGAGGTGGTGGCAGCGGTGGCGGAAGTAACGGAGGAGGCGGGGCAGGAATGCCCAAAAGGAAGCACCGCCGAGGAAAAAAGTCCAAGATGCTGCCCAAGAAAACAAAAAATCAGTATCCACAGTGGAAGCTCGATATGTCAACGGGTGCAGGAGCCACGCTTGAGGGAAAGAACAGTCGCACCAAGCTGGTCCGCTCGCGGTCTTTGCTCGTCCCGTACAACACCAATCGCTTCCTGATGGAGGAGCACATGTCAGAGGTGACTAAGGACGACTCCGACGACAACTGCTTTGGCTCGCAGGCGGAGGATCAAGTGCTCTTCTTGTCCAAGGAATTCTCCAATGTCTACGAGCGGGCGCGGCTTGAACGACTGGAGACGTTGAGCAAGCAGGAGCTCATCCAGGAGTGCCTGCAGATCGAGGATCGGTATTCCAAGGCCCAGAACGTCTCCAAGGAGTTTGGTGCTAAGATACGAGCGCAAGACGAGAAGCTGCGCCAGCTGACGAGGGAGAATCAATGTGAGTGGGTCGATTCTTACTTTAAGCAAAGAAAGAAATCTATCATCTTCAATTTTGTTGCATCCTTTTTTGCTTTTTAGACAACTATATCTATTAATGAACAATGAACAAAAAAAGGTTGTCATTCCCCGTTTTATACAGACTTTTATCAAATGTGAATAACATTATGAATTATTTTGACTTGTCCCTTTTTAGTTCTGCGCTCCCACTTCCTGCGCTCCTGTTCGACGACAGCTGGACCGGCTGCAGCAGCAGCGGCCGCAGCCTCGCCGCCCTCGGCGGTGGCGCCCACCCCAAGCTCTGCCTGCGAATTGCAGGCCAGGCAACAGCCGCCGCAGCAGCCCCAACCCACACCCATGGACTCCTCCAGCGAGGACAGCGAGAGCGACAGCAGCAGCACCACATCGAGCACAACTTCCAGCACATCCTCGAGCAGCAGCGATGGTCACGAGATGGGCGTGGCCGGACTGAACATCGCTAACGGGCATGCCGAGCGGCACGAGCGGAGCCGTACTCGCTCCAGATCCAGGTCCCCGATCCACCTGAATAATGGCCACGCCAACGATGAGGAGCGACAGCGCCTGTTGGATGGCAATCAAATGGACGAAGACGACAACTCCAGCGATGTCCTAAAACCAGGCGATGCAACGGTCAAATAGGCTGGAGTGGAGCACTTCGCCCTGTGTAAATAGAAGACTCAATTGTGGTAGAATATGGCGACATATGGATAGAAAACCTTGTTTATTTTTTAAGACATCTGTGGGCGCTTAAACGAGCGGTCTTCATTTCAATCATCAGTTCATCATCCATTATTTTACTATCTGCAAACGATGCCTCCCAATTGTTTTTTGTTGGTCTGCGTTGTATACAATACTTAAAGATGTTGCCTCTACGCGTTAATGATTTTAATGAAATTTTTATAATGAAAACTCGATTTGTAGGCAAATAAAAAGTTAAATCGTGAATTCGAATAATTTTGGATCTTCATTCTTATTGCCGAGGCAAATAAACTTCATATAAATTTGGTTTAAAGGCTTTTAAAAAATACAATTTGGTTCGGTTTAAATATTTAAACAGGCAAGCTTTTAAGAAATAAAAATTTATTCGGTTTAAATTTTAGACAGGATTTAAAAAATGTATAAGTTTTTGTTTGCTTGAAAATGTGTTTATTTCTTAAATTAAGTCTCCATTTTGTCCCAAGGGCGTCTTTTCAAAAATGAGTTTCCTTTATATTTATATATAAGATTTAATATAAGATAAATTAACTTTATTTATTAAAATCTTCTATGAAATTTAGCTAATGGGCTCAGCTTAAATAGAATCGGTACTTTGGCTTGATTGGGACTCCGAAAGTTTGCCAGCTATGCACTTGACAAAGGAGCTGTATTCGGTTGCATAAAGCGATTTGGAAATGCCCGAGTAACCCACGCCAACTAGTCTTTGTTCTGCCAAAGTGGCTTGTGACTGTATATTAATTCGCTTGGGTCCCCGAACTGGCATCCAACCGCTCACGGGGGAACTATTGGCCAGCATAGCACCCCGTATAGCAATGTTAAGACCCATTGTGGACAATGAACTGTCGCGATACTCATCGAGCATAACATCTGACAGACCCAAGTCATTAACGGCGGCCACGACATCCTCGATGTCTTTAAAATGTGGCAGATAATTGGCATGTACAAAGTTTACAAAATTCCTTGGTTCTGTGTTAAAAGCTTCGGTTATTTCCTCGGGGCTATGCAGCATACGTTTTTCCTCATTGACTGCAAAACTCAATGGTTAAAAAAGGTAAAACAGATTGTTTTTGTGACTCACACTTAGGATTCAGCACTCTCCCCAATGCGTGCATCAAAGTTATGGATTCATCTCTACCAATGGACTTCAGAGTGCTTTGCATTTTCTTTTTGCGTCCCTTGGTGGCTACGCTGACATTTAACTGCTTGGTGGGCATGCTTGGAACCCCCTTCAAGGAGCTCAGATGCAGGTTGATCAATGCATTTCTAATGTCGCCCTGGGCACCCACAACTATTGAGTCAACCACAGTGGACGAGGGCAACTTGTAAGTAGCTTTATTTTGCGGCTGCTGCATCACGGAACAAAAGGCTTTAATCGACTTTTGCATTATTGTGGATGCAATAGAATTGAAGCTGATGTGCTCGATGCGATGTTTGGCCTTTAGTTCATCCGTAAAAAGGCGGTAGCTGATGTTTAAGCCACGAGATTTCGCATCGGCCAAGATAAACACCAATGGGGATTTGCCGTAGGTGGAGTATTCACTAAAAAAGGATAGGAGTTTATATTAAAACAGAGCGTTAAAGATTTATTCTATATTTTTTATAAAGAAAAAGTGGCTTATTGTGATAAACACCTAGCCAAATTACTACTTGTTGGGTTTTAATAAGGAAGCTATTCAAAAATGTAATGGTTTGTCACCTACTCTAGTATCTCCTCAAAGTTGGCCTCCTTATCGCTGAGCAAAACGTTGGGAAAGTCCTCGACGAGGAGCAGTCTTTTGCTGTGCGAGTCCAGGAGGGATTTGTATCGTGAGGCGCGTAGTAGGAAGCTTTTGAAGGCTTCCAGATGGGAGCCCACGTAAGAACTGCCACTCGGTTGATCCCCCAAGGCGTTGACCACCTCGCAGTCCACAGGATTGATCCACTCCTGCACCTGGAAGCCGAACTCTTTGGCTAGGACACGCAAAGTGGCAGTTTTGCCCGCACCAGTGGGTCCTGTGAGTAGACACATTTGAGCGGGGAATTTCTTTCGCATTGCTTCACAGTGACGCAGCCAATCGCGAAGTTCTCCAATCTTCTTGGGATGCACGGCTAAATCCTCGCTCGCAGCAGGCGCAAAGCTCTCCATCCAGTTTGCCTTAACCTCTGGTATTGGGCCAGTACTATCCGCATCCTTTTCATCATCTACGGCTGTGAGATCCACGGATTCTATTGGCAAAACTTGCGTTGGAGTTGAGTTCCCGCTATGAGACCTCGAAATTCTGGTGCTCACATTGCCTGAACTTCTGGTGCGCTTGGCAGGAGTGGCCTCCGGAGTAACTGGAGTGGTGGAAATGTCCATCTCGCTAAAGGCGCACCTCACCCATGTTTTCTAAACATTAATTTTGTTTTATTTATTTTAAAAACCGAAAATTCAAATTGTTTACCTTCCTTGCGCTCATTTTTAGATTTTGCCTCTTCTTCTTACTTTGAAGAGTGACCAGCTGGTAAAAGCGTAAGTATATCAAAAAAGAATATATTTGAAAATGTCTTCGTTTCCTCGTATGTTGCTTAAATACACTGCAGTTATAGTGATTGTTTTTAAGTTAAAATGAATTCAACTAATTTTAAAAGTTAAAAATGTTTTTTAATATATGTTTTTCTCTTTCCAGAGTAGTTCCAGTTTAAGTAAGTTTCAAGCCGTTGGTATTTTGCTTGCCCCGGCATCCGGTCACACATATCCAGACTTGCTGGCGACGCCTTTGCGCGATACTTTTGAGCCGATCTTTGCCTGGATTATTGGAAAATATGTCCGCCGAAGTAGATTTTGTCAACAAGAAGGAGGTGCACCTCCGCAACCTAAAGCAGTCCGGCCATGTGGGATTCGACAGCCTGCCGGACCAATTGGTCAACAAGAGTGTCCAGAATGGATTCGTCTTCAACGTCATGTGTATAGGTCTGTATATGCGGGTGCAGTTTCCGTGTGTGTGTATGCGGCACAGTGAATCAACCGAAGTTTTACTTGAAAAACAGTGGCGGTCAAGGCAATAGCATTGATTTTCGCAAATTTCAGTAAATGTGTATTCTCAAAAAAAATAAAAATGCTATATAAAGTAAGCTTACGCACGAAGTCAATGTTTATTTTCTGATACATAAATCTTCAATTTTAAATAAATTACTTTCCAATTTGGGTCTTAACACAGTACTTTTTACCATATATCAATCTCTAAGAAATTAAAGTCGTCTGCTATTAATTTACATTAAGACGTTCTTAGCTCAGTTAAGAAGTGGTTGCGCCAAAAGATCAGAAATGTAAGCCGAGTTTAAAGGTGAAATTAGAACCTATCTTTATTAAAATAGCTTCGGTTTCCTAAATGCTATCACTTTGAGCGTTGCTGTTTTGGGTTCTCAAGTGTCTGATATTGGAGTGCATTGCTCAGATAAAGTGAATCACCTACATACATGTGGGTAAACAATTGAAATGCCTTTACCAGACGCCCAGCCACGATTAGTATGCAGAGTGGCCGGTAATCGATTTCCCCCGCTGCTTTCTACAATTTCACCCTGACATCAATGCCGCAATGCTTCTATGGCCAATTGAGCCCACTTGGGCTTTGGTTCCGCTCCCCCCGAATCTGACACCAATCTGACCTCCCATCTTCCCTCTTTTCGCAGGCGAGACCGGATTGGGCAAGTCGACGCTGATGGACACGCTGTTCAACACCAGCTTCGAGTCCACGCCAAGTCCCCACACTCTGCCCAGCGTCAAGTTAAAGGCACACACCTACGAGCTACAGGAGAGCAATGTGCGGCTCAAGCTGACCATTTGCGACACGGTGGGCTATGGCGACCAGATCAACAAGGACGACTCGTTCAAGGCAGTGGTGGACTACATCGACGCCCAGTTCGAGAACTATCTACAGGAGGAGCTAAAAATCAAGCGATCGCTGGTGACGTGCCACGACAGTCGCATTCACATTTGCCTGTACTTTATCTGCCCCACCGGGCATGGCCTCAAGTCCCTGGATCTGGTGTGCATGAAGAAGCTGGACAGCAAGGTGAACATCATTCCGGTGATTGCCAAAGCCGATACCATTTCCAAGGTGGAGCTGCAGCGCTTTAAGGCCAAGATCATCCAGGAACTGAACACCAATGGAGTGCACATCTATCAGTTCCCCACCGATGACGAAACGGTAGCCGAGACGAACACAAGCATGAATTCGCACATTCCCTTCGCCGTGGTCGGCAGCACGGAGTTCATTAAGGTGGGCAACAAGTTGATCCGCGCTCGCCAGTATCCCTGGGGCACGGTCCAGGTGGAGAACGAAACGCACTGTGACTTTGTGAAGCTGCGCGAGATGCTCATCCGCACCAACATGGAGGACATGCGCGAGAAGACTCACACACGGCACTACGAGCTGTATCGCCAGAAGCGACTGGAGCAGATGGGCTTCAGCGATGTGGACAGCGACAACAAGCCGATCTCGTTCCAGCAGACGTTCGAAGCCAAGCGCTCCAACCACCTGGCCGAGCTGCAGTCAAAGGAGGAGGAGGTGCGCCAGATGTTCGTGCAGCGGGTCAAGGAGAAGGAGGCCGAGCTGAAGGAGAGCGAGAAGGACCTGCACGCCAAGTTCGAGAAACTGAAGCGGGACCACGCCGAGGAGAAACGCAAGCTGGAGGAGTCGCGCAAGTCGCTCGAGGAGGACTACCTCGACTTCCAGAGGCGCAAACAGCAGTTGGCCACCGCCCACCACACGCTCACTCTTGGCAAGAGCAAGAAGAAGTAGGAGCCGGCGCCGCCGCCGACCAATGTATTGAGAATTCTGTGCGGTTCGCTTATCCCAAAGTAATTATTGCTTTCTCATCTCGTTGTCTTTCATTTGTACTATTAAGTTTACTTCAAATATTAACATATACACAACTAAACGAATATGTACGCAGACATATATGATTATGTATTTACAACTAACGAATAAACCGAACTTAGTATTTTAACAAGGTAAACAAACACAAAACACAAAAACAATTAATTTCAGAACCAAGGATTAATTTAAAACAGTAAGTTATATATGGTATGGAAAAATGGTACCGATTTAAATACCCTAAAAGGTTAATTCAGTTTTTATGTGTTTTAAAAAATTATTATTTTAAATTGGTTTTTTATTGAAACTAAGATTATATAATGGTATTTAAAGTAGGTAGACGTTCTAGGTAAATATAATCAAGAATATTTTGGATTGATTTTCAAAAAGTAATTAGATGGGCATTTAAATTTATTTTTTGAACTTCGCGCAACGCGGAATTATTTAGTTCCACTTGGCCATTTTAAGCTCGTTTTAATGTAAACCACCTGGTCACACTATTTTGCTACTCATTTACTGCTGGCTGTAAAAATTGTAGAACAAATTAAAAACGCAATAATAGAATCGGCGCAGCAAATGCAGCATTAATAGTGGAGAGCAGTGCTCAAAAACCCAAACGAAAGCAATTAAACGTGTTCAAAATAGAGAAAAGATCGTGAAAGTGGGTGCAGCAGTTGGGGAAAAGTGAGAAAACCTTTGTGTTTGTTTTTTTTCATTATAAATTTTGTTTGTTGCTTGGATTTTGCAATTTAATGGTAGGAGGGGGAGTCGAGGCAGGGGCGAACCCAAGTGATTTTCCATAGTAATCATCGAGTGGAGGGGAAATTCCAACCGACATGTCGCTAAAAGCGGCGCTAGCTTTCTGCGCTCTTCTGCATACAGGTATGGATAATGGAAACGACAGTGAAATCAATAATCCTCCAAACTGGGCCAAAACTAAAGATACTCCCTTTTGCAGTCACCTGTTACACGGTCTCAATTACGGCCCCCAATCAGGCCCTCATCGGATCCTCCATCAATGTGTCTGCCCAGCTCTTCGACAATGGCAAACCGGCTGGCAAGGGAACCTACAAGTTCACCTGGAGCGACAGTACTGGCCATCGAAAGGTAACAAAGATATCCACACCCCCCATAACAAAGAAGGAAAGCTCCCAGCCGAGTGTCATGACTAATTGCCTGCAAATGCAAATGCAAGCGAGTCTATCGGGCCAGAGTTTACGGTGTACGCCCATTAAACTGGCTCATAAAAGTTGTCAGGAAAGCTGGTTTCAGTTTGCTCATCCAGTTAAACGCAATGAGAAACCCAAATAATTATTAATATTTGTTAGTAATTATTTTAATTAATTAATTTTAATTTTAATTACATATGTACAATGGAAAATTTCTTTTAAAGTTTAAAGAACTCAATTAAGAAGCCCTTACCACTCACTGAAACTTTTTAATTAAGTCCACAGATTTAGTTCTGAAACATTTTAATATCAAATTCAATTTGGAAGTTCACTCACCATAACGTACTTTCTGTTATTGGTTAAAATACATTCATTTTTGGTTATCGCCCAATGACAATTTTCTTTAAAACACTGTGCAACTTAGAGTTTCAACAATGGAGTAAGCTCCAAGTAGTTCAACAAATAGAAAAAATACAAATCGAAATACTTGTCATTTAAGTTTCTGTTACTGAAAGAATGTTTACAGGGTTTGGTCATGGGTTAATTTATTTAGAGGTTTATTTTTATAACGTTGAAATCAGGCAGCACTAACATTGAGTTCATTATCGATAAGGCACATCTAAATGACTAAGCTGAGCTCAACAGAGCGCCTAGGGTTAAATTATTCATATTATGGTTTTGGATTCTACAATCTTCCCCAAGCCTGCAATATTTCTCAGAACTTTAAGATAACAGTTAATTCTTTCGAAATCAGTCGGAAGTTAAAAAGTTGAGTTTATGACTGATACCAATATTTATTTATAGATAGCAGATATGTATATACTTTTAATCGCTTAAGCTTGGGTTCAGATAAGCAAACATCAAGAATTTCCCAGTTTCAATCTGAGCCATGCTGTTTCAATTGTTATGGCGTCACTGGATTTGAATGCTAATTTTAAACAATTACTATTCAGCGACAGTTTTTTTTTTTCCGATTGTGCCTGGTACGTGGTCATATCAGCGGCGTTTGGTGGCTACTATTGTAGACAAATTTGCATGTTTATTGAGCCTAAAACCACAACCAATTATTTTAATCAATTGCCTTTGTGCTTGCAGGAGATTGAAACGACCAGCGCCAGCAGCAATTGGACTGTAGTCTACACGCAGGAGCAACCGGCCACACATGTCCTCAAAGTCGAGGTGGATAAGTTCTTCATTTTTTGGGTAAATGAGGCCAAGGCCCAAAAGGACATCAAGCTGGATAACTTGTTGGGCGGCAGCTTGGAACTGATTCAGAACAATGTGACTCGTCCGCAAAAGTTTGTGTCCACACAGGAGGCGGTTAATCACAGCATATTGCTATCCGAGCTGGATGTGGCATTTTTGCGGGCCAAGGGATACCACATTCAGACGTATTGGTTTCAAAACTGCACATATCTGGGCATGTCCAGTGCCCTGGACTATCAGGCCACATATCCGAAAGCAGAGCAATACTTTGACGTGGAGGCTTTAGTGGTGGCTTCGCTGGAGTTACCGCCTGAGCCAATACCCTCAACCACGACCACAACAACCACAACCACTACCACTACCACTACAACAACCACGACAACAACAACTCCAGCCACAACAACAACTTCAACAACTCCTGCCACCACGACCACTCCAAAACCCACAACAACGTCAACAACTACGACAACCACTACACCAAAGCCACCAGCCCGAGCCAAACGTGATTTAATTCAGGCCATGCATGCCAATGCCGCCCTTCTTGGTCTAAACCTTACCAGCGCTCTAAAGCAGCAGAAGGATTCCGTTGGCAACCTGTCCGTGGCACTGGTCAATCCGCTGGGCGTACGTAGACTTTCCAAGCTCACTTTAGTGGCCGGTACTCAACCGCCTTTCGATTGCATAAGCAAGAAATTTGTGGCCCAGGATCCCAAGCAGATCTACGGCTACTTTCACCACCGCATTGTATCTAAAGGTTAGTTTATTTCATTTTTTAGAATATTATTTGACTATCTATTTGTAAAAACCTTCAGATCCCGTTACCGGTTTTGGCACTACGGGCAAGAATTGGCTGCAGCACTGGGAGATTATTCACCTTAATGTGAACTGCAAGGGATCGCCACCGTTTGAGCTTTGCACGCAAGTTTTTACTGGTGAGCAAATTTTCCTTTTATCAGCTACCTTAATTTCTACTATTTTAACATTTTATGTCAATAACCAATTTCTGTTCCTAACAGCACCTTACAATTCCACGGGCAATGAGACGTGCGACCGTTATGAACCATTAGATAATTGCTCATACGAATACAAGCGATACTTCAGCGAAAGCAAGACCATTCTTTTCTTTATACGCAATGAAGTCTCCCAGACACTCAATCAGGTCACCATAAACATGTATGAAGGTGGGTAAAAATCAAATAACAGCTTTCTAAATATTTATTTACCAATTAAATATTTTGTATACCTTACAGCCCAGCGTCAATCTCAGCTTTCGGTGGTAGTTGTGCCCGTAACCTGCACATTGGTGGCCGTAATTTTAATTGTTTTCGGGGTGTCCTATTATATTCAGCGGGGAAATCGGTGAGAACTTGGAGCTTAACTGTGACAAACTCTTTCTATAATCTGTTCATTTGCACAGCTTTAATGTTGAAGTGGCCGATTTTAATTTCGGCGATACTCAGTCGGTGGACATGGAGTACAAGACATTCCCGCAGCGTTTGTTCGACAGCATCCGTGATGCCTGGACGTGGCCGGGTCAGCGGCGGCACTCGCAGTCCAGCGTAGATCTCATGGCGGACCAGCCGCCCAGTCCGGGCTTTGGCGGCAATGTGGGCGATGTCGATAGCAACCTGCGCTACAACACTTTTAACTAGGGCCCTGAGTGTTCGGTTGGAATATTGTTAACTATGCAAATTAACCGTTTTAATTTAATTTCGGCGCCTAAGTTACGAAGCCCTGCTCGCAATTTCCTTCAAATTTGGTGAAATCGATATTGTTTTCTGAAATTGGTTTGTTTTATACTCAAACCTCGGTGTGAAATCCAAGGCTGCTTTTGCCGTTTCTACAAAATTTGATTGGACTCGAAAGCGGGATCAGGTGTGATAGTTATTTGTTATTATTTGTAAGAGCACTCTCATGTGCTCTAGTCATTTTCTTGTTGTACACCAGCACTTTGGGTATACCAACCCATATGTACATGAATAGAGATGATAGAATCTTTTTTATGTCTCCATATAATTTATCTATCCTTACGTTATTATCGAAATCATCTCCAACATCTACGCACATAACTGCTCATCAATGGCCAAATGTCGAGTAACAAGCTACCATTTGAATCGAAATATCAGGTGTGCAGTAGGGTTATGGAAAGCAACTGCAGATCCCTTCGGATATTGTTAAAGACTGTCTTTGTTCTAAAAAGCAAAAATAAATCTGGTAAAATTTACACTTAACTTATGCGTGAGGAGATGTTCTTGACGAGCTAAATGCTAGCATAAGTCAATTTGATTGTTTCCATTGTATCGTGATCCAAATTCTTTGACAAAGACAAGCGCATCCTCACTAAAACACACGCGACACAAATATTCATTGTGATAGATATAAAACAAACAGTATGTACGTTTAGCTAAAACGAAAAGTTTAAAGAAAACCAATATAATTATAATTCTAAAAATGGTTGAAATTTTATTTAATAGCGAAACAAAGGAAGGGGTAAACAAAGTAATGCACAAATTTTGAGGACGTATACTAAGACCGATTCCGATTTTAAAAAGCCTAATCAACCTTCTAAAGCCGTTTATAATTCCAGCAAAAGACTATATGAACCCGCATAATTAATAATCAGCTTCGAGCGATCAGGATTAATTATCTTTCATAATATTCCCACATTTAAAATCATAAATGTATTAAAATCACGCACATTATTTACTGAAAAAGTCACCATAAAAAATTAATTAATAAGTTAGAAATAAATTTTAAAATGTACAGTAAGTAGGTACCTTCATTTTGTTTTTTAAATTCGCGCTTTAATTTTAATTATAAAGAACGGCGAAAAACATTTCTAGCGGCGAATTCATATACTATTTTTTTTGACTTGAGATTCTCCAGACAGACCGCATTGGTCACACCAGAAAAAAAGGCCAAACACTTGGCGGATAATTAATTATGTTTCTTAATGAAGTTGGACAGCCCTTGATCCTGGAGACTGGGAAGAAATACGGCTTGTTCGAGGAGGTACGTAATAAACACTCCATTTTTTTAATACTTTCAATGTCCTGTGGCATTTCAGCATCGCGGCGCTTTGCTCCTCTCATCTGCCGCCTTTAAGGAGCACCTCGTTCCCGGAAATTGGTGCAAATGCGTAGTTGGGTCTGAGCAGGACATCCTGCGGTTGCGCTCCCAAGACAATTCCAGCGTCTTCAACTCCGAGAATTACAAGTTTAAAACCATTCCGCCAAATAGGCCTACTCAAATAGATTATGACGGCAGCCAGATCACAATAACATTGATACCAGCGGGAAAAAGCGATAGTGGCTTTGAATCGACGTTGTACTATATAGATAGTTGGTATATGCTTTCCATCTTATATTTCCCTCTGTAAACCAACCATATCCATTTGTAGATGACCACGCAAAATATCTGATTGTGGATCGCCTCTCCGGCTATTTGGACTTTTTGCCCAAGGCCCACAGTTCCTTTCATCAAGGCCTCAGAAAAGGAATCGATGTGGCCTACATAGATGAAGATCTCCTGGGTGGGATCGACTTAAATGAGGATCTGTACAGTTTGATGGACCTGATAAGGCCAAAGTTCGTTTATGGATTGAGGCTTGGTGAGTTACCCAAGTGGCTGCTCAATCTGCGTCGCATGAAATATGAATACTAAATAAATAAAAAGTCAACAAAATTACAGTAGAAAATTATGCATTTAAAACGAAAGACCTGGTAACAGTCAAATAAAATCTAGCTAGGACCTACTCCCTCGTCAACCCTTTGTCGCCTTGGCCTTGCTTTTGACCTTCTTAACACGCTTCAGGCCATCCATTTTGCTCTTCATGAACTGCGAGTACATGCCCATCATGGCGGGCACATCCTCCTGTCGGACAACGGTGGAAATCTGCCGGAGAAGTGGTTTCCTCGTACAATGTTTTAAGGGGGAATTTGATCGACGTTACCTTTTGGGATTTGGACTGGGCTCGCATAAGGCACATGTAAGTTTCCGGTTTGGGTAGTGGGGGTCGGCCGGCTCTTGGCACTGGTTTATCATGGCCATCATCTTGGGGATAGGAAATAATTGTTAGTCCCTAAATATCATGTTTTTCGGGGGACACCACTCACAGCGCTTGAATGTCAGCGTAAAGGAAGAGTCCTTCTTGGCCGCATTGGCGATCTTTTCCAGGCGCAGGATGAACTGTAATAATTGACACCTGATTAACCAATTATTTGCTGAGTTTTAATTGTTATTTACGTTCGAATTGTCCAGCAAAACCATTTCGTGGCAAATAAAACAGGCGAAACGAGAAAAGTGACACTGACAGTTGTTGTGGGATTTTTTAGTGCATTTCAGTCTGCATCAGGGCTGCACAAGCTCGCAACTTTTGACAATGCTTATTTCATGTAGAATGCAATCCACAGCAAAATATAAAGAAAAAACAAAGTTAAGAAAAATAAATTAAATGCAAATAAAAAAATTAAATATATAAATTATTGAATAAAGTGTTACTACTTCATTTGCTTCAGTGTTTGTTACAAGTCAAACACCTTGTGTTTTATTTTATTTACTTGTATTACAAGTAAAGAAAATAACTACATATGCTGAAAATTTAAATATATATCTGCCCCGATAGTATCACGATAGTCGTGAGAACATAGATGTTGGCGGCTGGCCTTAATTATCGATACAATCGATATTGCCATCGATGGTTTGACAGCTCTAATTGGTTGAGAAAGCAGCAACGAAAGGAAAAAGGCCAGAAAAAATCGTAAAAGTACGAAAACCTACAAGTGCGGGGCAACCAAGGAAGCTGTTGCACAAACGATACAATAAACACGGTACCACGAACCGCACGCCACGCCCTCCCGCGCCGCCCCCAACTCCGGACAAGCGGGACAGGAAAAAAAGAAGCGCCCAGCAGCGGTGGTGCAAGCGAAGTAGGAAAATTCCAGCCGATCGAAACGAACGACCGCGACCGCCAAAGGAAGCGCCGCCCACGCCGTCAGCTCTAGAATCGACTCCACCCTCCATAGCCACCTGGTTAATTCTTATTCAAGAAGCCGCCGCAGCCCCTGCCAGCGCCACAAACTCCGCAACATGGTGAGTGGTTCACCACCAGCCGGTGGCCAGCTGGGATGCAGTGCATCTTAGGTTTCAATGCCAGAGATCTCTACATACCCAAGGCTAATGTAGCCAGAGTATGTGTTTCCTGCGTGGGCGGCAGGCATGACACATTAAAAAACCTCTCACTGAACTTTGACCGAATCGAATGGAAACCATCAAACGATTTGCCCTCTCTTTTGCAGGACGTATTCCTCATGATCAGGCGGCAGAAGACCACCATCTTTACGGACGCCAAGGAGAACACAACGGTGGCCGAGCTGAAGCGAATGATTGAGGGTGAGTGTTGGCTTCTATTTATAGAGCAGCATCATTATTAAGTAACTCCATGATTGGCTACCCCGCTTAGGCATACTCAAGGTGCAGCCTGTGGATCAGCGGTTATATAATCAGGACAACGACGTCATGGAGGACGAGAGCACGTTGCAGGACTACGGCGTGACGGTGTCCACGGCCAAGGCGCAGGCTCCGGCGCAGCTGGGTTTGACATTCAGGTGAGAGTCGCTGATAAGCCGGGTGCGGGTTATCTAGCGGACAAGGCGGGCGAGTGGCACGTGTACCGCTTACAGGCTTACAGCAACTTCATTGCCCTATTTTTATAGGAACGAGGTGGGCGACTTTGAGACACTGGACATGACACCCTACTCGGCACCACCAGACTTACCCGAAGTGATGAAAAACCAAGAGGCCTCGAACGGACAGGAGCAGGTTGCATAAAAAGCAGCAGTCAGTCAGTCAGTCAATCACCCCTACGAGAACAACAAACAGCAGCAAACACATCAACAAAAGCAACAGCAGCAGCAGCAGCAAAACGAGACAAACTAAATCCGCTAAATCCAGAGACTCTAAACTATTGTCGCTCGCTTGTCCCCCGCAAACGAAATGTACGAAAACCCGGACGGAAGAGGGAGATCTGTCTGTGATTTCCAAACTCCATGCCTGGTCAGAAAGCAACAACTGCAGCCGCAGACCCAATAGCTAAATATGCATTTTTCGTTGTTTACATAGCAAGGAACAATTCCCTATGGTTCCAACTCAAAATTGTACTTTGGAATGGGATTTATAATATTCGGCTTTAACTTTACACCCTTCCCCCACTTGTTTGTTTCTTTTTAATGGAATTTATACGAATTTGTTGAAAAAATACACAAAGTCATAAAAAGTAAATGTGAGAATTGAGCGAACGTGCAGCAGTTTCAGTACCCCATCCGCTTGATCCTTCGTAAGCAGAGTGAATATTTAAACAATATTGGGATCTAATTATATTATAATTTATAATCAAATCATTATTTTTGTAATAATAAGATTTAATTATTATTAAAAACGAACGAAAAAACCCTGTCCTTCAGCTAATCACTCTCGTCCAGTTCGGCCGTCATGGCGGCCACCTCAGCATCGTTGTCATCCTCCGCCCCGCTGTCCACGAAGGAGGCATTGCCGCTCTGTTGCAGCTCTTGGTGCTCCAAGTACTCCTGCAGCCGGTCCTGGAAGAAGTTGATGAACGTCTGCTTCTGCTGCGCCGTGGCCGGGAAGTAGTGGCCGCCACTGTGCTCCAACAGTTCCGCGTTCTTGAAGTGCGCAGCCAGGGATTCACTCAGCTCCTTTGGTATGATCTCATCCGTCTGACCGTAAATGTGCAGAGTTGGAATGCTGATTGCCTCTTCGTAGGCGCTCATGTGCACCAAACTGCCGGACAAGAAGCCGGAGGAAAGCACTGCAAACTCCGGGCGGATGGAGGTCACTGTGGGAGATTGTTTTGGTTATACTAATCACATTGTTCGCTGCTATATTCAAGGCCTACACTTCTTTTTGGCCAGGCCGCAAATTAGGCCCACAAAACAGGCGCCTTGCGAAAAGCCGAGGAGTCCTTGGAATGGACCCTGAGTTCGCCACGCCTCCTCCACGCAGCGCAGGCTCTCCTGGAAGCCGAAGGCGGGACCACCTTTGTTTGTTCCTTTGAAAGTTCCATCGTCCTTGTTTGCCCACCAGCTCCTTTGCTCCGGCACAGGTTCCGCCCCAGACTCCAGAGCGGGGGCCACGTGTGGCGCCGTAATGAACACAAACTCCGCATATTTGGAGGCGAACTTTCGGAAGGAGCCGAGCTTGTTTTTAAAGGCATCTCCATTCTGTCGGTAGCCGTGCAGGCACAGGACCCGCACTTTCTCGGTGATCTCAAGCTTGGGCTGTTGCTTGCTGCCGCCAGCTCGACTGGAACCGGCTGCCTCCGCCAGGGCATCATTGTTGGTCATTTTGTTTGATATTTTTTATCTAATGTTTAATGTTTTTCTCTAGCAGGAAGCAAATAAAAATAATAAACAAGGTTATGGGCTTAATAGAGATGGGAAGCAATCGATAACCATACTGTCAGGCAGCTCGAAGGCAAATAAACGCGCTAGGTGGCAACTCTTGGCAAAAAAAGCCGCATTTTTTACGTAAATCTCATTTTCCGTGAATGCAACAAGTTTTCCGTGTTATTCCACTCGATATTTTGAATATTTAGACCGGATCGTCTTACTAGACCTAGGATCACCATCAGGAGCATGATCTACACCACCACACTGCTGTCATCACGGGGCGGCCTCATCGGTTCGCTGATCAACAAAGTCAGGCAAGTTGTAGCCAAAGATTGGCCACCCAGTGCTTCATCTCGTGCCAATGACACCGACCACAGACCCCTCCCCCTCACACCCCCCAGGCCCCTAGCCGCCGCCAGCATCAGCAACAGTCCGGCGGGGCAGTCGAAAACGCTGGAGGAGCAGGTGGGCCTGCCGCCGCGGCCCAAGAAGCCGCTGACCCCCTACTTCCGATTCATGCGCGAGCAGCGTCCCAAGCTGGTGGCCTCCAATCCCAAGATCACCACCATCGAGGTAGTGCGCCAGTTGTCCAGGGAATGGTCCGACGCCGATGCCCAGTTGAAGTTGCGCCTGCAGGCCGAGTACAAGAAGGATCAGCAGATCTACATGGAGGAGCGCACCAAGTACGATGCCACGCTCACGGACGAGCAGCGGGCGGAGATCAAGCAGCTCAAGCAGGACATCGTGGACGCCAAGGAGCGGCGCCAGCTGCGCAAGCGGGTCAAGGAGCTCGGGCGTCCCAAGAAGCCCGCCTCCGCCTTTCTGCGATTCATCGTCAGCGAACGCACCAACACCCCGCAAGCTGCCAAGCAGACCTACCGCGAGTGGCACCAGAAGACCACGGCCAAGTGGACCCGCCTCTCCGACTCCGAGAAGGAGGTCTATATGCAGGAGGCGCGCAAGGAGATGGAGCTCTACAGGTGCGTGGATATTTCAGAATGTGTTTTTTGTGGGGGCACTAGGTTTTGTGATAGAGTATTGTGATTCTCCCCTAATTCTTCCTTCAATTTATCTTAGCAAACAACGACTGGCATATAATCGAATTTTACGGTTTTTTTTATTTGTATATTTTTAAATCACTGATTCCCAAAAATTTACTTGTTTTAACTGTTTTAGTTTTGATTGCCAAAAATACTCATAGTTCTAGTCAAGAAAACAGCTTCAAGCATTCATGTTTTTTTTTAGAATGGAATTGTTTTGCTTTCCCAGTGCATTTGAATTCTGCACATTTTGATGTGATCCTATTTTGAATTCTTTAAAAATCTTTGGGCCGAACAGCCTTTAAGTATGCTTAGTAAAATTTGTATTGCAAGAACACGTGATTTTCTGCCGAATTCTTTTTTGTCAACTAAAATACAAAGTTATCACGAAAGCACTTCCAAGATATCCACTTTTAAATAGAAAAAACTGATTTCAAAGTACAAATTTGAGTTAGGTTAATATACATAGGTTCATAACGATTACTCAGTTTGTGCTCTGACATGTTATATTTTACTACCCATTTTACGAGAAACTGCCACTTATAACCAAAATAAATGTTACCCTTTATAGGAAAGCGATTACTGTTTGGGAGGAGAAGATGATTCGCCTGGGCCACATCGACGTGGTGCGTCATGGCAATCTAATCGATCCGCCGGAGCCGAAGCCCCGCAAGTCGCAGGCCGCCAAAGAGAAATAGTGCTAGCTGCTCAACCAGCCTTCCGCCATCACATACTTCATAGTTCACACTTCATTCTGTTTTTTCGTTTTTCTTCTTTCATCAAAAAATGTTAAGGTTAAGGCATTAACGATTAAATGCTAGCCCGCATAAGCTTAACTTAAAACCCCTTGTTCCTGCAGTTAGTTTTACGAAGGTACATTTAGTCATTTGGACTATGTAAATAGTTTCAGCATTAAATATAGAGACAGTTTTTGACGAAAATCTTTAAATTTTTTTAACTGACTAGAGAGCAAATGATTGTGTCCATCGCAGCCACTAATTAGTAACCTTTGCAATTAATTAAGCTTCAGCCAACACGTTGCGTATGGAGCAAACACGTGGCATCGAATGCTTTCAAAGCGAGCTGACCAAAGAATGGGGTCTTTGGCAACACGTGTCTGAGTCTTACGGGGTTAATATCACACTGGATTTCTAGTTGATTTAACACGGTAATCGACACAGTTTTAATCTCTCTGCGTAGATCACGGTAAACAAATATGCGTTAGATTTGTCACCTCAAATGCGCAGATTACAAAGGTTACAATTTGTACAGTCAAACTTGGACTGGTGGAACTACAGTAAGGCCTTGGCTAAGAGGCGGACACAACCGCTTGCTTCTCGGTTCAGTTTCCAATTGAACGCACAGTTCCAAAGCCGGAATACGGCTGGTCTGGCCCGGTCAGCCTGGAATGCTGGCGACTGGAATGATATTTCCGCTCTCCCTCTCTATGCATATCTCTCCGATCCGAATTAGTGCTGAGGTCGACGAATTCGGCGTACAAGGCAGGCAGCAACAATTGATAACCGTTCGAGTGTTTAATCAGGGACGGATTATATACACACTTTTGTGGCCCCCTTAAAATGTTAAATATTGTTGTTTTGGGGTATACAGCTTAGGCTGATTAAAGTATTTCCTACTGTACAAAGACTATTGGAGTAAAGAACATTTGCTTAGAATAAACCCTTTAATAAGAATCTGTTAAATTACTAATTTTATTGTTTCGTCTGAATTCTAAAAATAAGTATATTTGCTTGACGTTACAAATTCCAGCACTTAACATTTATACTGTCTATTTAATAATTAATTATAAAATGCTTCAGAGGCACGTTTTCACTTATAATTAAAACAAACAAAATTGTCTGAAATTTGTCTTGTAAATTAATCCCTTAATCTTTTAATGGTAATTTCTTTTAATATTGACCTTTTTTAATTTATGTGCACCAAACGAATGATGTACATATGTATGTACATACGTTATTCTATTCTCTTCGTTGCTCGAATCGTCTTCCAACGCCTCTCACTCCAGTTTTACTCGATTTCGAAACAGTTTCGACTCTCTGGAGTGCACAGGTATCTCAGGTAGACTGCTTTCCAGCGGGAGAAGATAGCTGCTGCTGCGGAAAGAGAGGCTTTGCCTTCCAGTAATCCCCTGACAGGTAGTCGAATCATGACTTATGATTTCCATGGTTTTCGTCACGCCACTTAAGTTTTCCGCTCTAGACAAATTAAAACGAAATGTTTTCACCTAATTGCAGTATGCAGTATGCAGTATGATCACCCCAATAACTTTTTTCGCCTGGCATTGGCCAGAGCTCTTCGAAACGCCAACGACCGCCACATTCTTGGGCAAGAATCTGAGTTACCTCCGAGTTTTCTGGCCAAATACCACGTTCGGGCCGCCACCGCCAGCAGCGGAATTGCGCAAGCCATATTGGCGCAACCTTGGGCTACTCCAAAAGCCGAAAACTAACCACTTACACACGCACACGAAAATACATATGTACATATATTATTGCAATAGAAAAATAACAAACAACTAGCGAACACCAAATCCAACTCCAAATTCGCCTTTGCCCGGCCAATAAACAGTGCACAAAATTCGGCATTTCGAATGACAAAAATGCATTAGACACTTAACAGGCAGCTGGGAAACGGCTGCGCATGCGCACGATTAAAGGCTATTAGATTAGCTGATTTCCCAGTCTCCACGGCTTCTAAGTTAGTTAGTAACTACAGTCGATACTCTAAAAGAGCATTTATAGAAATTGTGCCAAAGAATGTTTTAAAAACGGTTCAAGTTTTGCCATTTTTGCATTTTATTCTGGTTGATATGAAGATTTACAAAACAAACCATTTTATTTTTTAATATTTTTTTAATAATTTCAAATTTACGAAGTCTGCAATATATGAGAATATTAATGAGTAATCTAATCCAAGCATTCTGACTATGCAAGTTCAAAAAAGTTCAGGTTGATTAAAAATTCGTCTAAAATAGGTTCGACTGTAGTAAGATTCTCTGAGCCGGGGCAGCGATGTGGAACCATTTATTAAGTGGTACATGTATCCGAGCGTGTATTGTCTCTAGTAGCCATCTAATACTTGTTTTATGTGGTCTTCGGGTCCGCTGCTCAGGTGAGCCCAATTTCAAAGCACTCGTGGATTCGGATTTGGATTCGGACTCGGACCTCCCTCGACGGCAACCAAGTGGAGGCCAACTGCTTTTCGACGGCCGTTGCGCCACAGAAGTGAAAATTTCGGTTAATATTTTGTTTCTGTTACGTATTTATTCAACGAATTTGGTTCTTTGCAAAAGTCGTAAAGTTGTAAAGTTGTTTAAACGAGATGCTACAAAGTGTACATACACATACTGGATATATTTATCGATTTCTGCCGGACGTGACATAAACCTAACACTTAGATGCTAGACGAATATTTACATATAGGTAAAGATAATACGAATACGAATACGAATACGACGTACAAGCTCAGAGGAGTTTTTGACAATAATTTAATACAATGGGTAATGACGCGAAGGGGGAGAACATTAATTTCGAGGGTCCCGAATGTTTTGCGGTGTGATGTGTGGTCGAATATAATGTTGATAAAATAAAGAGGTTGCTCTAGGGATTCCTTTCTACCATTCAGCCGGTTCCGGCTGATAACAGGGATTCGCCAGAACCCGTTTAAAGTCTCACTAAAATTCCCTAACTGCTTGACAGTGTACAATTAACTACTAAAATCAAAACAAAGTACAAATGAATCACGCACAGTATAAGGCCGTTTAAGTCCGGCCCAAGCTCCCTAGCCACGTTGCTTGCTGCCCCCACTGCTGCTGTGGCTGTCCTCGGACGGAGGACGCACCCATCCGCCGTAGCGGCGCTCCATTTCCCGCGCCACCGCCAGGCAGAGGTGGTCCTGGCCCGGATTGGCCACCACCTGGATGCCCATGGGCAGGTTGCGCCGGTCCAGGCCGATCATGCAGTTGGTCACCGGCAGGCCCAGCGTGTTGAAGATGGCCA